ACAGCATTAAATTCAAGTATGAGTATGGGAATGGCTGATCTGGCATCCCAGCAGCAGAATTACCAACAGCAAATGAACTTTTTAAGGGCTCCAGATTCCAAATTCGATGAATACCAAGAGATTTCAAACTCCACAGTATGGCGCTAATATTCCTAATGTTGGTCTAGCTGGCCGTCTGCCCTTCCCTGGCATGATACCACCGCAACCAGCAGGATATAATATGTTAAATCAGCCGCGTCTTGGGAACGTTACCCCAACAAACATGGGTGGTGATAGTCTAAATAATTCTGGTATTCTTCCGAGTCTGTTACCCCTTCTACACAATCTCAACTTGGGGCGTGGTAAGACAAAGGACTCACGGCCCCAATAGAAACTAATTCAACTTGGTGTGCCGTAGAACGCATAACCCCAATAGAAATCAGCTGAAGTTGTGATAAAACAGTAACATTTCTTGCAGCGAATATCAAAAGTGTGTCTACAGTAAGAACATCATGTTTTCGGGCTTAACAAGGTTGTCGTTAATAGAATCCCAAAATTAATAATTTACATTTGGTGCAATGAGTAGGGTTCCTGTTGTGGCAACTAGAAATCTACAGAATGACCACCAGACCAGGACTAGTGAGTTTTGTGCCGGAATGTATTGAAGATGTCAATAGAACACTGGAAAAAAGACAAATCTCTGCTCAACAAAATAACATGCACTGAAGGTGTTGTATCTGCCAATGTCTGTGACAAGTGCCTTATTTAGTTTTATGTGTATGTTGCATTACCAGTAGTGACTGTTATAAACTAGCAGCCATTAGAATAACACTAAACTCGGGTATTGTGTAGTTGTGCTTATTTAGTGAGAGTTTCTGTATTTAAGTTGGTATGGTTTCGATTCCCCACTTGTACACGACAAGGAGTAGGGTTGCCTGTCCAATCTCGTGGGTTTTCTCAGGGTCCTCTGGTTTCCTCCCACTGCTAAAGAACCCTACGCACAAGCGAATTATTGAAATAAAATTGAACCATGTTAGTCCCGAAATGACCTAGACCCATCTCTCTCTCTCTCTCTCTCTCTCTCTCTCTCTCTATGTATTTAAGTAATTGAGTAATTAACTGATTAATTAACTGATTAATTAGGATTCCTAAGAGATAAATTTACCATATGAAAACGACTTTCTCAACTGGCCTGAAAATAGGCAACACCGAGTTGGTGTCAGTCTTTTAAATAGGCTACACTGAGGTAGTTGATGTAACTTTTTATAATTGACAACACTGAGGTAGTTGACGTAACTCTGTTAATTAGGCAACAGTGAGGTAGTTGATGTAACTTTTCTAATTGACAACACTGAGGTTTTTGATGTAACTCTTTTAAATAGGCAAAATCAAGATATTTGTTGTAACTCATTTATCGGCTATTCTTGTACCTTGAGTTAACTATTCTAGTCATTAAGAAACAAGTTTTAATTTAAATTTGTTCATGCAGATTATACGAGATTATTTTTCATGGATAAGTTTTTCTTATCAAACCACTGAGTCACAAAAGTAGTGGCTGGTGGTTTAATGTTTTCATCCACAGTAGTAATATCACACACAAGAGAGTCACAGAACCAAGACAGAGTCACAGAAAAAGTTCTGGAGCTTTATATTGGTGCTCCACCTAGAGTCACAGAACCAGAACAAAGTGACAGAACTTCTTTTTCTGGGGCTTTACATACAAGTTATTATTTTGCATACAATATTTGAGTGAAAATATTATCAATATGTTGTAATTTTATGATTTTTGTTATCGTTGATTTTATTATAGTGCTGAAATAACTTAAATATTCTTGCTCTTTAATTATTATTTGTTTAGTAGGTGATAAACAAGTTACTAATGTTGTTAAATTTCTTGTGAAAATTCCTTATTTAAAAAAAAAAGGTTTACTAATACAGACAATTTGTTGTACACCCACATTAGAATATAGTGGTTAACACTGCTTCTGTGGTGTTACTGTACCCAGTTTATTATGACTTGATTCCATCAAAGTTTTATGTTATTCAATTGTTTGGATTTTCTCTCGCCCTATTTTTATTTGGATTCATATTAAAATATATTCATATCTTGTCTCGACACCTACACCCCACCCACCCCTACCTATATCCATCCGACATCTTAAAATTCTTTTGGAGGTTTCGGAAGGTGAAGTTATCTTGTGTTTATGTTCATGAGAGAAGAAACCTATTGATTTTCCAGAACTCGAAATTTTTATAACTGATGCGTGTTTTATAAAATAATAATGAGTGGAAGCAAATCAAATTTTAATTATTTCTGATAATTATTTTATGGGTTGCTAATTACTCTGATCAGTTTTAATGTCTTCAAAATTCCCTATCCACCCCAACCCCCGTATTACCCACAAAGATAACTATGTAACAGCCTTTGTGGACTGTACATAGCTACTGTGGGCTGTATGTTTTGTTGCCTATAATGCATGCAATTCTATTTAATTTAGATGTGTATTATGAAATTATATGACCAACCCCACCACAACCCCCGTATTACCTACAAAGATAATTATGTAACTGCCTTTGTGAACTGCTCAGAGTACTTAGCTGCTGTTGGATGTGGGTGGGGAGGATGTTTTGTTGCCTATAAAACATGCAATTCCATTTGATTTAGATAAGTATTATGAAATTATATGAATAATGTTACAAAAAGTTAGTTGAAGTCAAATATATTACTACCATTGATCTATATTTAGTAACAGGTTTATCACTTATTACAAAATATATATTTACTTGGGGAATAAATTGACTACTTAATCTCAATTAGAGATGCCAATAATTACAATATGAGTTTTTAAATTTATGTTCTGTTTTTATACGCCCACATTGAAATGTGGACGTATATTGCCGTCGTCCCCGTCCGTCCGTCGGTCCGTCCGTCCATCGTCCACAATTTCTTGTGAACGCTCTAACGCCAAAAATTATCATCCAATTGTTTTAAAATTGATATATGTTGTTGACATTAGTGAGATGAAGAAGCCTATTTAATTTCAATAATTTCTGTTTATTATGTCTAGAGTTATGGCCCTTGTTTTTTTTTTATTTATTGAACCTTGTGAACGCTCTAACGCCAAAAGTTATCATCCGATCTTTCTGAAATTGATATGCATTATTTAGATTACTGAAACGAAGAAGCCTATTGAATTTCAGCAATTTCCGTTAATTATGTCTAGAGTTATGGTCCTTGTTTCACTTTATTGATCCTTGTGAACGCTCTAACGTCAAAAGTTATCATTCGATCTTTCTGAAAATTATATGCATTATTTAAATTAGTGAGACGAAAAAGCCTATTGAATTTCAGCAATTTCCGTTAATTACGTCTAGAGTTATGGCCCTTGTTTCACTTTATTGAACCTTGTGAACGCTCCATCACCAAAAGTTATCACCGAATCTTTGTGAAATGTATATGCATTATTTAGATTAGTGAAACGAAAAAGCCTATTGAATTTCAGCAATTTCCATTTATTACGTCTAGAGTTATGGCCCTTGTTTCACTTTATTGATCCTTGTGAACGCTCTAACGCCAAAAGTTATCACCCAATCTTTGTGAAATTTATATGCATGATTTAAATTAGTGAAACGAAAAAGCCTATTGAATTTCAGCAATTTACAATAATTACTTCTAGAGTTATTGCCCTTGTTTCATTTTGTTAAACCTTGTTAATGCTCGATTGATGAAAGTTATCATCCGATATGTATGAAATTTATATGCATTATTTAAATTAGTAAAACGAAAAAGCCTGTCAAATTTCAACAATTTCTGTAGATTACTTCCAGAGTTGAGACCCTTGTTTCAGTTTGTAGAACCTTGTAAACCCTCAAAACGACAAAATTTATAATCTGATTTGTATGGAATTGTCTTGTAAAGACCCCCAATTACCTACAAAGGAATAAATATTCGACCACTCGGACGATTTAGCTGCTGTGGGCGTATGTTTTGTTGCTTGGCAACCTATCTTATATCATCTGTACTGTCAAAAAGATATCAGATATTTCATATAATTTTATATTTTACAAACCATTAACAAAGATATGTTTTACTTATTAGCTGTTCGTTATTTGTTGTTTTTTGTACCCAATTGAGGTTTTCCGGGTATGTTTTACGGTGACTCAGTGAGTAACCACGAGATCTCGGTTCGAGAAATTTCATCGGTTCAGGACAGAGTGTATGGTAAGGGACAATGTATAGTCGTTCAAATGGGATATAAAAAAAAACGAGGTTATACACACTGGCGTACATGTAAATGAACCCCTGGCAGTTGTAATTTGATATAAGAGTAGGCAATGACAATGCTGTATGTCAGTCTTTATTAGACCAGTCGGCGCAGAAAAGTAGGACGTTAAAGGGACTATAACACTATTGCTGGCTTGACAGCTCCAGAAAATAAAAAATAGCCTTATTCTAAGTACTAGATGTGTTAGTGCCCTACCTGTTGTGTAAATTATCCATTAAATCCTATTTTACTTGTCCAGAGGGTTCAAAAATATTTTTAAATCCAAGTCAAATTTGAAAAGCTTTACGTCAGGCTTTTCAAATCATTTAGTTGAATTTTTCCAATTTTTTAAATTAGGTGTGTTAAGATGAAATTTGTATCATCAATTAATTGGAATATTGTAAAATAGTGCAATTTGTTGACCAGAATAAAGATTGGGACATATTATTCAGTTACAACAAGAGTGGTATTGAGCCTTTAAACCCTATTTCATTTCACTATACTTTTAATTTCACTATTTCTATATAATTACCCCGCTTTTTCACAAAGCTTCGATTCTGGAAAACCGAAGGTCCTTGTATACTATTGGCACCGCATGACAAACACAATTTATTTCCTGACACTCTACATTGTGTATGCCAGTCTATAATATCCAAGTCGGTGCAGAAGACTAACTTCCCATTTCCTTCCAGTTCCCAATGTTGTTTTTTCTCCCAAATAAAGTGTGACAAGATGTTATGTGCAAGTTTTTTATTTGTTATTTATGAAATATAAAATCAACATATTCATAGTAAATTATGAAATAATCAAGGCAGGTGCTAAATAATATATGTTGCATGATAAATTGCATCTTCAGTATCCCCAGTGGTCCTATTCCTGTCTACTCTGGGTTTATCCATGGGATATTCTCATAATCTTAATTATCTTCCCTTGATCGAACCAATAAAAAAAAGGTTACAAACCAGTCTTGGCCTCATTGTTTACGTTCACAACCCTATATGACGGCTTGTTCGCTACAATATGAAAAAGGCTAATAGAAAACAAATGACATGCACACAAAATGTATTTAACGATTTTTTGGATCGGTCGATAAAAATAGCACAATCATCAAGGGCAGATAATTATAATGCGTCTCTACCCCATGGATGAACCCAGTAGTTAGTGGAGTGGGACGGAATTGGACCACTGGGAATACCGAGCATAGATAAAATTGTAAAACATAAACAAACAAAAAAAATACCACAAATGTGCGTTGCGCAGTGGTTAATGCAATATGCCCCCTGAATCTCTGAACTGTCGTCTAGATAACTTATTTTATTTATTTATTTATTTATTTATTTAAAAAAAAAACAACCACGTCCAGTCTTTGCATGGAGTTGCAACATCTTTAAATTGATTGAATCTTACAAACCCCCTTATTTCTCAAATACAAACGTTTGAAATCTTTTTAAATTGGCGGTTGGCTTCCCAATTAATATTTGTTTTAATTGAGTGACGTTACGGAGCGCTGAACAATGGGTATATTATTCAGGAATATCACAAGTACCAGAGCTTTAACATTAAATATATGGTTATTTAACATTTGATAAACAGCTGATAAATAACAATAAATTAAACTGACTTACATAGGCTGACACCCAAATGTTGATAATAACAGCTAACCAATGAATACTTAATTAGGATATTAATATTTTTTTCTGAGATGATTCCACAAGGCCATACTGGGGAATCCATGATCAACTCCATGCCATAAAAGCATACTATTTGAATTTAATTTGTAAACCATCCATATTGCATTATCAAAATTAGTTGACAGTCAAGAAGTTCAGCTCTGAACGTAGGTCTCATTACACTCGAGTGTAACGAGACCTACGTTCAGAGCTGAACTAACAGTCAAGTGGAAGTATTTGTTAAGCATGTGAGTAGGTGGCACTAAAACCTACCCGAGGAGTTATTTCCCCATCTGAAAACTGTGTTGTTTTCAAATCATTATATTATATTTTTTTTTATTTCTGAGATCATTCTATCTAGACATTCTGGTATAATCACAAGAATTTGTGTCATAAATAGATAATTCAATTTGCAAACAATTCATGGCGTTATGAAAATTGCCTGACAATAAAATATTTGTAATGGAAGCATTGGTCAAGCATGTAGATCAATGAATTTTCAGGGATAACGTTTAAGTAAAACTAAAGTATTTTAAGAATTCGGCCCTTTCATTGATTATGAGCTACAAGTTGTTCTATAATTTCAGCGCTCCACCAATGAAAAATGAGTATACTTAGTTTAAAGAACTTGTTATTCTGTCATTGAGAGCTTCAGAGAGCATTTTACACAAACCGGTGAATCATTTTTAAAGACAAAGAAGACTGTAGTGGAAAGTAATTTTACAGTAAATTATTAAAAATAAAATATTTAGCAATATATATATGATTGACCAATTTTTAAAATACATATGTATTTTAATCAGCTTTAATCAAAATTTATAACACAGAAAATGACAAAAAATAACCAAAAATTTAGATCAATTCGAGGAAACATATTCAAAATAAGACAAATAAATGAAGCGAAAACAAAACACTTAAACCAATATATACAAATAATTTTTAAAATATCATTTGGAATATAGCTATCTTATTTATCGAAGCACAATAAACTTTCAGCACAGAATAGCAATTAAAGCCGTTGCTCACCTTTTGCGGATTTTAGACAATAAAACAATTTGAAAATATATAAGGTAGATAATCTGTCTTGGATCCACTCGACACAAACTAGGTCTTTTCGGGACTAACATATGGTTCAATTTTATTTCAATAATTCGCTTGTGCGTAATGGTCTTTAGTGGGAAGATCCGGAGAAAACCCACGAGGTTGGACAGCTGGCGACCCTACCCTTGTCACGTACAAGCGAGTGTCGATTATAGAATCCGCGTGAAGCTGGTACCACGGGGGTATAAATGTGAATAAAAACTTTGAGATCAATAGGTAAAAGCATAATACCAGGAGTGTAGTTTTACAGGAAATCGAAACTAGCTCCATGACGTGCCTTGTTTAATGACAATAAAATACATGTACAACCAATCTTAACCCTTTCCCTCCTCGGGCTTCCATAGACAACTATCATCGGTGTTAACCTGTTAGCACCCGGACTTCCAGAAACTCTTGTGCCCCCCATACTGCTCGAATAGCTGTCATCTATTTAAGGGCGCATATGTACTTTGGACGATATCATTTCGATGGAAGCCGGCGTTAAATAAAGCTATTTCACACGCTCAGGCGATTGTATTCTAATAACATGAGCAAGTTTCTACTCGTCTGCGATATCCCTACAGTGGTAGCAGACGTTAATCATCAACGAAGAAGAAGAATCGGACGATTTGAGGCGACTCGTGAGCCGTAGTTTCTGGCAGTTTTAGGAGGTTTAACGAGCAGCAGTTTCGGCGATTTCGAAAATTAGCTACAGATACAAAATTCAATGTAAAAACATCACCTTTCTTTAATTTTTACAGGGGACACCAAGTGCTAATAGGTTAACATGATATAAACATTATATTGAGGTTCTCTAATACGGTGGACACACTAGCCGAATGATTCGCCCAAAACAAATATGTTTGATACATTCCGCTTCGCCGAAGCATTCTCCCGAAAGTAGAATTTATTAGCCAATCACCACTCACCCACCATCCACACATATCGAAAAGTTATGTGATTGTTTGAAGACATGGTTGCCGCCAAGTTAATCGTGTGGCGAAAAAGGTGATGCAATCGACTGGTGTCCACCCATTCGGCCGAATAAAATTAGGCGCCGATTGATTCGGCTAATGTGTCCATCGCTTAACTGGCGAACCGAGAGTAAAGCTTAATAAGAGAATACAACCATGTTTCGTCTGAAATTGAATAAAAAAATATACATTTATATAACTAATATCTTAAGGTTTAAAAAACATGAACATTTTTATTTACATATGAACAGGTTAAAATAATGATGAATAAAGGTTGTTTTATGTTGCTTGGATTATGACGCTGATATCTGAACGTGGGGTATTAACGGATTCATAAATAAACGTAACAAGTTGTACAACCCACAGCGTAATTCAAACAATACAAAACATCCATAGTTTATACACAATATTCGACATACAATCTGATTACAACACAGATCTGTATTTTAATAAATCTGGTTAAAACACAGATCCTATTTCGTTTCGTTTTTATAGTTCAAAATTTAGTGTAGGCCATCGAAAGTATAAAAAAAACGAAACGAAATATAAATCTGTATTTTAATCAGATCGTTCGACATGATTAACAGCTCGACCACTTAAATAAAAATCTGAAAACGTGGGCTTTTTAAGACAAGAAGAACAGTGTTAGCCTAATGATTTAATCAGTAAGGAATAATTTATGAATTCTCACTTGGTAAACCTCGGCAGATGCCGTTACTCTACATCAAGCCTCGGTTGTATGGCAGTAAGTGATATGTACCTACGCCTATACAATTGCGATGCGGCATCGGTTTACTTATTAGGAAAACCTGTCGCTTTTAAAAAGAAGTTTTCAAAACCGAGTCGTTCGAAGCGAGTGGTAGTTTCTGAATGGTAACTCAGGCATGATAAACAGAATACTTTTTTTATTAAAACTTACAAGGTAGTGTAAAAATAAGAAAAATAACCGAAGCGAAACTGTAATCAAACATAGCCTGCACCATCGCTTTTTTTTTTTAAAAAAAAGAAGCTCGAAACCAAACAGGAAAGGCAGATGAATATGCCTCTTGATCGGAAAAATGTAAAATCAGAAAAATAGCAGAAGCGAAATTGTAATCAAATAAATAAAAAAAGTTTGAAACAGGAATGACAGATGAATCTGGCTCTTGATTGAAAAAATGTTCTTTTTAATAACAGAGCCGTGATGGTTTTGACAGCCGTTGCGTAGCGTGGGCGGGACCACCGGGTCAATTTCCCTAGGTATAAAATTCTTAGGGCACGCAAATTTCTAAAGAAATTAAAAATAAGCAGTAAAAATTAAATACTATAAATGAAAAATAGCGCGCCCTCTGCTGCCACAGAAAATCTCTCAATGTTCGAATTTCTACAAAGTTTTTCAATATGACGAAGCAAAGTAACGTTGCGGATACTCTTTGTGGGTGCAGTACTTGCTCTGCCCATGGCAACCCATGATATGCTACGCCACTGACAGACAGTACGTTGCGTTGTGAGGAAACAAAAAATACGTTTGAACCGATTGACTACTCAAACGTTTTAAAAAAATAAATATCACGGCGATGGTTCTAATAGTATCGTGCGTTGTGAGGAAACAAATAATACCGAGTTGGAAATGGTTATCTTATTTGACTGCTTAAACGTCTTAAATAAGCTATTTGAGTTTCCAGATCCGCCTTTTCTGTTCTAAGTGTTTGGAGCCACGTGCGTTGTGTGTCGAGGGACTGTTTAAGATCGGTCAGGATGTTTGTCAGATTTAAAGCAGTGAAGGCAGTTCGTGCTGCTTGGACATCGGACTGCAATTTAGCTAATCTTGTAGCATCCGCTGTGAAGTCGATATCTCCAATATTTTGAATCTCCAACAGAAGTTGATCCGACCGCGTTTTGGTCTTACTTCCAGCTGTCGTTAGATTTTGAGCCTTTTCGTCCGCCCTGGCAGCTCTGGTCTGGAGGTTTGTGATTGATGGCGTGAATGCTTCACAGGTTGTTGCCAACGGCCCAACTGTGGCGTTGGTAGATCCGACCAGCTGGGCTCTTTCCTCCAGGTTGGTCAGTTCCGTGTTTGTACGTGTTAAAAGAATAGATGCTTTCTCTGCAACTGGTGTCAATGCCTGAAATATACGTAGAATAGTTCATTAAAACCCCAATATACCAGATTAAAGCAAATTTCGACGTGATCTGAAAAGTCGATGCAAAAAAGTCGACCCTACTCCAATTGGCGGAGCTTTATTCCTATTTTGCAGAGCGTTGCACCCAGAGCAAGAACAAAGATTACCAAGTGTATGCAAGTAGTCCCTGGTTCACAAATGCCAATAACTTACCGTTAATTTAGTTTGAATGGAAGTATAAGCTTGTCGTGCAGCTTCTTTAGACAGGGAAGAATCTTGTTGGGCCGTGGTCAAAGATGATCTTAGATTTGCTGCTTGTGTTATGACTTCTTCGCTCAATGTTTTCACGTTATTTACTGCTTGTAATGAGTCATTGGCTGTAGATTCCACAGCTGTAAAATCAAAGAAGAAGAGTGATTGGACCAGGCACAATAAACAATTCGGGGGTGAGGGGGGTGGCCGAATGATTAGCACGTGCGCGCTGTATCATAAGGTCAGCCATTGAGTCAACTGGCGTGGTTTCGATTCCCCGGTTGTACGTGGCAAGGAGTAGGGATGCCTGTTTACCTTGTGGGTTTTCTGCGGGTCCCTTGGTTTTCTCCAACTGCTAAAGACCCCTACGCGTAAGCGAATTATTGAAAAAAAATTGACCTAGTTAGTGTCGAGTGGACGTTAAACCCCATCTCTCTCTCTCTCTCTCTCTCTCTCTCTCTCTCTCTCTCTCTCTCCCCCTCTCTCTCAATTCAGAAATAGTACGGGATCGATACAATATGCCGGATTACACAGTACCTCAGTACTGGAAGTATTATTGCACTTTCGAATACCGAAAGTATTATTATAATGCCCAAAACTTACAAAATATGATAACGCTGAATGCATAATCAATCTAGGGCGAATCAGGGAAATTAACAAAAAGAAATTGAAATCTGATTTTAATTAGACTGATTAAAGGGATGTTCATACTTCCACAAAAACATCGGTTATTCTAAACGAACGCCAGTTCGTTTACCCGATTTTAATTAGACTGATTAAAGGGATGTTCATAATTCCACAAAAACATCGGTTATTCTACCCAGTTATTATTCTACACGAATTCCAAGTAATTTACGGAAATGTTATTATCCACAATTGAAAAATCATGCCTACCAGCCCTTCTTGCATCAAAATTTCTCATTGTCTCCAGCATGTTCTCGGCATCTTCAAAAACTTTCAATTCGTTGGCTTTGGCCTGTTTGGCTAGATCCAGAGCATTGCTTGCCTTAGTATACATGTTGTCCACTGTAGTAGCCAGAGTTCTTGTATCTGACAACAGAGTACTGGATAATGTTCTGTCGACGGGTATCTCAGAATCTTTGCTACTTAGAGTTGTTTGTGCAGTTGTTAGCTACAATTAAACGTGATCAATAAAAATAAATAAATGTGATACATAAAGTCTCGATCACCCAATCCTGTCGCTTACAACTCATTGTTAGATTTGAATTCTTACTGCGCCTATGGTTGAGTCATGACGCTGGCGCATTCACTAGTCGGACCAATAGGTTCCGGGATTGATGCCGGCGTTGGCCGAGATAGTTCAGGGGTATTTTCCTGCCTGGTTTTAGGACACACGATCTGGCAATGAAAACGCTACGGCCGTTTGGGTGCAGGTTAAATGAAGAGTAGGTAAGTACACTGCATGGCGTATAACCGGTAGGTGCAGACGAGTAGGATGTTACACCATTTCATTTCCGTATCGGCATCTCTCTCATCTTGATGATGCAGAAAAGCGGGATGTCAATCTGATTAAAACATAGCTCCTATTTCGTTTCGTTTTTAATAGCTCAAAATTTCGTTTTACTTGTCTTTACTACACTGGGCTTCATGTAGTGGAGGGGGGGTTGGATGGCTGAATGGTTAGCGTGCGCGCGCTGTATCATAAAGTCTGTCATTGAGTCGACTGGCGTGGTTTCGAATCCCCGGTTGTACGTGACAAGGAGTAGGGTCGCCTGTCCAACCTCTTGTTTTTTCTCCGGGTCCTCCGGTTTCCTCCCACAGCTAAAGATCCCTACGCGCAAGCGAATTATGGAAATAAAATTGAACCATATGTTTGTCCCGAAATGACCTAGTTTGTGTCGAGTGGACGTTAAACCCCATTTCTCTCTCTCTCTCTCTTTCATGTAGTGGAAGAGTCGTCGAAGGTAAAAAAAAGGAAACGAAATATAAATCTGTATTTTAATCAGATTGAGTGGGACGTCAACCCCCTTTTCATTTTGTTTCATTAATACGTCTATTCCATTACTTAGTCTAAAGGTAATCATTGTAGTCATCTATGCCGGGCATATTTGTTACCGATTGACCGGTGGGTCACCCAAATCACCCAAAACTAGTGGGTCAGAATTTAGGGACTATTCATACCCTGCAACATCAACGGTTCATCAAAAACTCAAATTACCCTTTTGCAATCTAGTGTGGTTTTTGGATGGTAGGACACAAAAGCGATTAAGCAGCTGTTTGATCCGGGAGATATTTCAGAATGCTTCAAATCACGTCTGATCTTTCAAATGATCCTCGTCCTTCTCCATCCACACTCTCGCTAACAGGTCCACGTTTCACACGTTTAATCCCTACAAAAATGGCCCGTAGTTGTATAGTAAAAAACAATACGTGATAATTACCTGTGGTTTTAAACCATTCGATTTTTGTAAAATTTCTGCGATTCTTGTCTTCAAGGCAGCTATATCTGGATTAAAGCTTTCAATAGCTGACACGTCGGCGCTCAGTCTAATTGCCGTGTTATACGTTATATTACTTGTCATTCGAGCATCCCTAGACTCGGATAGAGCAGTCTCTCCGATGCTTTTCAAAAGATCATTTTGAGATTTTAAGGAGGATAACTGTTGAGTGTTGTTCTCGTGACCCATTAAAGATATCTGAACATCCTGAAATAAATAAAATGTTTAAAAAAAAACATTAAGAAAGTCTGAATATTTAGTGATATTAACTGTTCAAATCGGTGACAGACCCATCATATTACCCGTGAACTTGTCCCACAGTACATGTAATGAAAGAGAGAGATTGGGGCATATGTCATATTGAAGCCATATATAGTTAACAATGTATTCAGATAGCTAATAATGTATTCACATAGCTATCAATGTATTCATATAGCTAACAATGTATTCACACGGCTAACAATGTATTCACATAACAAAGAATGTATTCACATAACTAACCATGTATATATTCACATAGCAAAGAGTGTATTCACATAGCAAAGAGTGTATTCACATAGCACAGAATGCATTCACATAGCACAGAAAGTATTCACATAGATAACAATGTATTCCTCCTCTAATATCTGAGGAGCCGCGTTGGCTCAGTGAGTAAGATGCTTACCAGGAGGACTCGAGTTCTCTACCCCTGTTCACTGAGAAAGTTCCTCGGGATATTTCGACGTGCCTCCTCCCCCAGCAGTGGTGTATTACAGAGGGCCTGACAAGGACTGAGTCTAGTCGTTGAGATCGGACGAAAATCCAAGGTCCCACACAATAGTATATCTCTAATAAGTCTCAATATATATACCCTACCTCTAATATTTGATTAGCCTGTGCATTAGCAGTAGAACTGATATTTTCCAGTGATGCTATAGATTTCAATATGTCTGATAATCCACTTGTCGTATTCATGGATAACGTCTCTAAATAAGTCTCTGCTGATTTCAAACTGTCCATTAATTCACGTAGTCTTACCAACCGTTTTGATATGGGATCTGAAAATACAAATAATTTCTTCATTATTATTGATATATAAATATAGTTTGATGTATTATTTCAATTCTTTTTTTCATTTTAAATTGGTCGGGTTTCTTTTAGGTGTATTTTACTTTTTATTGCCCGATGGAGCTAGCAATATACCGGGTCTAATCGTCCCTCGCGTTCCCTTCTCGTTTTGTGAACAGTTCGCGAGTGACCGTAATTAACCGTATCTAGAACTCGACGAAGTTCGCTGGAAATCAAGGGGTTGATCAAGGCGGCGTCAAACTTGTTCAATTTATTGGTGTATCTTCTTGAATCAAACGTTTGTTGAAAAAATAATTCGAAATCACTTCTCAAATCCAGAGGAACATCGTGGAAGAACTCCCGGATCGAACCCGAACTTCTTGGTTAGTGGGTCAGCGCCATAGTCACTGAGCAATCGGACATATAGAAATATGGCCACTTATTCAGGTAGGGGGTTGGATGGCCTAATGGTTAGCGCGTGCTCACACTGTATCATGAGGTCAGTCATTAAGTCAACTCGCGTGGTTTCGATTCCCCGCTTGCACGTGACAAGGAGTAGGGTCGCCTGTCCAACCATGTGGGTTTTCTACGGGTCCTCCGGTTTTCTCCCACTGCTAAAGATCTCTACGCGCAAGCGAATTATTGAAATAAAATTGAACCATATGTTAGTCCCGAAATAACCTAGTTTGTGACCGTTAAACCCTATTTCTCTCTTTCTCTTTACCTTTTCAGGTGGTCTCTTAAATTTGTGAGCACACGAGAAATAAAACAAGAAAATTTTCTTTATACCGATATTGGCATTTGTGTCCTTGACAGTCACGTCTACCATGTCTTTCTTATCCAGCCCTTCTTGTAATTTTATATCTCCTTTTTGTAAATACATCTGTATAGAAACCAGTTTGGTTGATTTGGTGGTATCGATCCTAGTAGAGGCATCAACTGTATGGGCCTTAAAGGCGCTAATTTTAGTCTGAGTTGTAGTTTCTGCTTCTCCTGCTTGAGTTAACTGCAAACAAGATATATTTCACTGATGAGAGAGAGAGAGAGAGAGAGAGAGAGAGAGAGGGAGTTAAACGTCCACTCGACACTCGGGACTGATACATGGTTCAATTTTTATTTCAATAATTCGCTTGCGCGTAGGGGTCTTTAGCAGTGGGAGGAAACCGGAGGACCCGGAGAAAACCCACGAGGTTGGACAGACGACCCTACTCCTTGTCACGTACAACCGGGGAATCGAAACTACGCCAGTTGACTCAATGACAGACTTTATGATACAGCGCACACGTGCTAACCATTCAGCCATCCACCCCCACCCCTCTTTCACTGATGAAAGTAATTGGTTTGAAGTTGGAGAAATGATAATAAATAATCCATTCCATTTCTGACCAAAATAAAATGTTAGTACCATAGAAGGGGAGGGGTACGAATGGTTTAACACGTGTGAGCATTAGATCATAAGATCTGTCATTGGGTCAAGTTGTGTGGTTTCGATTCTCCGCATGTAAGTGACCAGGAGTAGGGTCCCCCCCCCCCCGGTTTCCCCGCAGTGCTAAAGACCCATATGCTAATTATGTCCCATGTTAACGTACAGACTACATGATAGAAGCAAGCCTGACCCCTGACCCCACCCCCTCCAAACACACACAGTCCCCATTAATCATCAATAGATCCAATCTTAAACATCTCTAGCATTAAAATCGTTAAAAAGCAGTCAGCCGTCCACCAACAAAAAAAACCCCACGCACCCACCCACCCACACCGCCCCGGCAACGCAACCTAAGCTTTTTCTGGTTGCCACTACCTGGGTATTATCCCATTCTAAAATATGTGCCCCCTCTCAAAATCCCAACCTTCTTCTTCAGCGGTCCTGTGAAATATATAATCAACTTACAAACGCCATTAGTTTATTCATGTCTGATTTAGTTTGGTCTATCCTTGTGGTAAAAGGTCCAAGTTCTTCATTCATGTCATTCTGTCGTAATCTTGTTATTTCACTGGTTAAATTATCTCTCTGTGATCGTAATACATCCACTTGTGTTAATATCAACTTGTAACATTCATCACACTCTAAAACAAAAAATCAAACATTAACCTATAACATGCATCACACTCTAAAACAAACATATCAAACTTGTAACATTCATCACACTCTGAAACAAGAATTCAAACTTGCAACATCCAACAACATCTAAAACAAAAAATCAAACTTGTAACATTCATCACAATCTAAAACAAAAAAAAACAACTTGTAACATTTATAACAATTTGAAACAACAATCAAACATGTAACATTCATCACACTCATATCGAGCATCAATTATAGCCACAAGAAATCAAACTTGTAATATTTGTCACACCCTGAAACAAAAAATCCAACATCAACTTGTAAAATTCGTCAAACTCTGAAACAAGAAATCAAACATGTAACATTCGAAACACTCTGAAATAGGAATTCGAGCACTAAATTACAACGTTCGCCACTCTCTGAAATTAGAAATAAATACAGTACCACACCTTCTTGTGGTTAGATAAAATTCAGGTACCTTAAAAATATGTCCATTTTCATCCGTGATTTAAATATTCTTAGCTAGCACTGCCCTATACAAAAAAAAGATTGTTAGTAAAAGTCGGACAGAAATAAGGACGGGCAGGTTTTTTGATGATTTTAGGTGGCATACTCAACACCGGGATCGAACACGGGACCTCCCGGTTAACGAGCAAACCCCTTACTCACTGAGCCACACCGGCTCCCATCACAAACCATTGTATTAATACACTACACAAACCGGAAATTATAGGGTTAAGGGGGGCTAAGTGATAAATAATATCCGTCTCTTCTGACAGAGAATATTCTAAGTTGCTCCACTCACCTGTACAGCCTGTTGTAGTCAACTGATTATAATTATCTTTGCATTGATCACATTTTCTTCCAACCACGTTTGGTTGACATGAACAGTTTCCCGAATCTTTAAGACAATCAGTACCAGTAGATCCCACTTTATCACATTCACAGGCTGTAAATATAATGATAAAACTTTATTACAATCAGTACTATCACATTCACAGGCTGTAAATGTAATGATAAAACTTTATTACAATCAGTACTATCACATTCACAGACTGTAAATGTAATATTAGAACCTTATTACTATCAGTACTATACATTATCGCATTCACAGGCTGTAAATGTAATAATAGAACCTTATTACAATCAGGACCAACTCTGTTATCCTTCCGCCTCAAAATAAAGATCATTCAATAAAACCTGGCAAAAATGTACACCCAAATCCTTTTTCTTCGAAATAGATCGCGAAACAAAAAGGCGAAATGGTGAAAGGAACAAAAGTCTCTAACTAGAAGGCATACTTATACATTTGTACAAAAGTAGTAGAAGAATTAATAGTGGTCAGAATCCACGAGAAATAACCGTCTTCAAAGTTTGGACAAGTGGTAGTCAAGAGCACCTGCTGCAAGATGATGGCGAATTGATTAAAAAATACGGGAAGAAAATCTTTAATACTATAGATTACCTTTACATCCATCTTTATCCAAACCATAGAAATCAGTCATACAGGCATCACAGTTTGGTTCTTGTACATTGGCTGAGCAGGATTCACAGTGATCTCCCATGGTCCCATTTCTACAATTCAGACAGACTCCGCTCCATTCATCACATACAGGAGGAGTTGTTGCCCCTCGACTGTTACAATCACAAGCCACACAGCTCGCGTAACTGGTGTCGTTGTAGGAATTTGGCCGTTTAAATCCAACAGCACACCGCTCACATGAGGTTCCTGCAATTGCAATATTATGAGGTTATCAAATCTAAGAATACATCCTGCTGCTTAATGTATCGAGGTTATTCCCTACCTGCAAATGGTTGAGAGCTAGATTTGGGTTAATTAGGTATTCTGGAAATAAACTCGTTCAGTGACGTCAAGATATCTGGCAATCCACATTCGGTCATAGTTTTGGCACCCAGCATTACCCCCTAAGTAAAAAAGTACCTCATATTTCCCAGGGGTCGTTCTATGACTCATTTATTTAATGTCTTTAAAAAGGCGTTTCTAGGCCGGGGTAAGGCATCATTGGGCGTACGTAGGAAGAAATCAGACCATGATGTAGCGTTTCAGAGGGCATGTCTGATTTCAGGGCTCGAGGACTTAAGACTGTAGAAAAACATTATTTAGAGCTCTTAGATACTATAATGTGATGTGTGATACCATAGCTATTAACTGTAACTTGTATATAGTTTCCCGTATTTCTAATATGAACAAGGTTTTAGAACAAAACGGTGTTCCAGAATTCCATGCATTGCTTACTAAAAGTACACAACATGAAGTCCTAAATGAAGTTAAAATATAGAAATCGAGAGGGGAGTGCAACAAGAAGGATGCGAGCGACACATGATAGTGTCACATCGCAAAGGATAGTGGTTTATTATCGATTTGTAAGCCGGATTGTATCTCACATGGTTATCGATCATTCCACATTGTTTATTTGAAAGCCCGTGATCAAAATATTCTTAGAGAAATCATTTTGGCTGCTGCGATCAAGGATCGTGTCACTCGTCATTCTTCATGTTATATACTAAGTTTCCCAGAGTGTATGACATGCAAAGAACCGAATATGTAACAGTTAATAATTTAAATGATCTATCTAAAGACACCGCGAACTTATTTTGGGCTTGCTATATCGATAAAAAGAAAAGGGAACTTGCCGAATTAGGTTTATTTAGAAAAGTGTTTCTAAAAATATATAACAGAAACTTGTTTGTCTCTTTAAATATATTAACCCTTGACCTACCTGCAACATTATCGTCGGCAGTATTACAGACGCATTGCTCAACAAATGTAGCTGTACCCTGACCTTCGACCTTCTGGGCTGTGGTCATCATCAACTCAGATATAAACACATTGGTTCCATTTACATCTTGTTTCACAGAAATCTTCGATACGTTAGATAGGATTCCTGGCAAACAGAAAAACTCACAATATTGGTATCAGACGAGAAGTACAGCAACACATTGACATCAAACTACTCGACCGTTAGTAATTCGACAATTATACATCAAACCAAGGGTGGAATTAGTGGGCCGGGGGCGCGGGGGACACCCGACTCAAGCTCCCCGCCCTAAATATGGATCCAGGGGCCGCACTTTAGAACCCGATTCGTGTCTCAGATCACTGGAAATGGCTTTTCCATGCTTCTGGTTTCTGAAATTTTTCGGATCCCCTGTTGTGCGCTTCGCGCCGTCGGCGCTCGCGGCGTGAGGCTTCGACGCTCGTGCCCCCCCCCCCTTCCTCCATGGTCTCTGGATCGCCCTGACATCAAGCATTACCAAGGGTAGCAACCGGGTTCGATGCCGATATTGGCCATGCAAAGAAAAGCGAAAAACCAGCTGTAAATGGAAATAAAAGTAGACTACAAGATATTTCAGTCACTTTGAGACTGGAACATTCTACACAATAATCTATGCTATGGCCTATGCAGCTCCACTACCACGTCCCGATATTCTTGAAGGCACGGAGAAAAAAACAACACTTTTTTATGAAACTTACTGTAAAATTCTATAGCTGTTGCCTGTGATTGTGTTCCGTTAGACATGTACATCCAGTTCCATTCGTACATAGGTACAACCATGGTCATCGCTGTTTGATTCAGTATTAATGATTCGTTTAGGGAGTACGTCATACTTATATCTATAATAACAAAAATAAATGGTTTTCTATACACTGCCAATAGAAGTATAAGTATAACGAGCATATTATATGAACCAGGACCCGAGCATAACGTCATCAAAGCCATCTTGGAATTAGAAACGTTATATCAAAAGTTCGTCAATCCATGCAATATCCAAAGAACACAAATACCAAGTTTCGTGTCTATCATACCCGCACTGGCGAGCGTCGCCCCAAGAAGAATAATAATAACACGGTTACTATATGATTGGAACAAGTTCTCGGTTTAAATGGCGTAAGTTCTTTAGACGGCGTAAGTTTTAAAAATCCTATATGTTCTTTAGACCGCGTAAGTTAAAAAATCCTGTATGCTCTTCAGAGGGTGTAAGTTAAAAATCATGTATGTTCTTTAGACGGCGTAAGTTTAAAAATCATCTTTAAATCATACACATTTGTGATTGTAAAAGCTGTTAAGATAATTGTTTTTGGAATTTTGAGTTTGACTCAAAACAGTTTCATGTCCTGATATTTTCCGCTTGTATTTCCACTATTCCAGACAATAAACGTCGAAATGGATCTACTTGATGTCGACATATGCGAATATATCTGCCCTATTTCGAACTTAATTATTATCATTTTCTATCAGTAAAATATATACCTTTGTTTTCTATTTTCACCAGTTCGACATTCTGGAGATTGATATCAGCGTCATTGTTTTGAATAACAAATGTAAGGGATTGACCATATGACCAATGGCGATCTCCAAGGAAACTCGGTGGAGCTGAATAATAGCCATTTTGAGGTACAAGACTTTCAGACCTGCAAAACATATGTAATATTCTGAAAATTACAAAGTTGCTTACAACACAGACATGTAGACATGGAATAAATTATTTCAAGTCGCTTATCCCGACGAGGTAATTTTTGGACAATAATTAAATTTTGCATGGCTTAATTAAAGTAGCTAAGTCCGTAACTCAATATCATCCAAAATCTTCGACATTGAAAACACGAATTTTTTTGCAATTTAAATCAGCATTGGTGTTGTGGACTTACCTGGAAAAGATGGGCTTCTGATATCCAATATTTAAGACAAAATAAACATTTTACCATTGGTACACGAATCGTGTACCACTATGCGTTTCGGCGCCATTTGTAACAAGGTGCTCACAGAATGAGGCTAGACATATTCCACAAGTCATGTCAAACGGTGATGCCATATTCTTATTTGGAGAGCGTACGCAATATATACTATCGGTGTTGACTGGCATAACCAGGCGCTAGAAACTGTCTTTCGGCTGAGACTTCTGGCGTATTTCGCCGAACATAACTGATGACAATTCACAGTAAAACGGAAACGATTGAATATAAAACAGTTTATATAAATTCATATTACATTATTATATGTGTTGCGACCCATTTGTGCCAATTTCTAGGCCCAAAATATTAGCTTTTTAGCTCCTTTAAGGTTAAAATGTACTCAAATTTTTATTTTAATTGGGCCAAAACAAGTAAACCGCTCTTGTTACAAACAAACGACTTACCCAGTAACCGTAAGTTGAAGTGGCGAATAACCGGAAGCTGAAGAACAAGTGGACCCATGGCGGAAACAAAAACATGGCTGACATCCTTTTGGTTTGGTAGTGACCAGATTAAAGTAACCAGATTTACACGTATCACACTTGTCACCCTGTACGTTATCTTTACAATGACACGCACCTGTTGTTATATCACATGATCCGGTTGAACTTCCTTCCGAAGAACAACTACACATTCTGAAATAATAAAAGATCGAGATCATGCTTTCAGAACTTGGTCATCCGTTCTTTCAAAAAATAGGCGCACTATATCCCGTTTGGTTCTGGTGTGCCATTAAACACCATTTCATTCATTCATTCATTTCTGTCTAATATATTAAAACAAACTCTAACACTTGCGAGGGAAAACTAAGATAATAACGGATCAACAATGACGAAATACTTAACGCAAGACCTGACAAACCAGAAGGAGGAATGGACTAGGCACCAGATACACCAAAACCCACAGAGGATTAGTTGTACCACTCAATCATTCTACTAGACATTGTCAAACGACCTTAATTGATGTATGTCTAAGCTTTTATTTTTGTAATGTATCATCTATGCCATATCTTTATTCTGTTAAATCTATTATCGTATTTTCGTAAAGGTCTGCGATATCACCACTATGGAAGCGGACGTTAAATAAAGCTATGGTGGGCAGATTCAGGTATTTAGCCAAGAACGATTAAGTGGGATACTTTATCTGGTGTAGTTGGACCTGACTTATACAACATAGTAAAGGACTTGACTAAATTATGATAACAATTCATAACGTTGATAATTATTATGTGCACTGAATGTAATTTTGCTTATCTATGGAAGCATTTAAAAAAACATATATTTTCCAGGCGAATACTTGCTAGAATTGAGATTAGGTCATGATAAAGATAATGGTTAATCTGATCTGTTATTTTAATTATTGATGAAACAAAGTCTACACCATTAAATATTCGTTTCGAAATATTAACCGATGAGGCTATTTTAAATTTACTAATTTTATTTTCGACATCGACCTAAATTTTTTTACCCAAATCAAAAAAGTTTAGCCATTTTGAATGGATTTTCTTTTGTACTTACACACATCCATCAGCGGAGAATTTAAAATAACCCGGCTGGCAGACATCACATTGTTTCCCGCCAATTGTTGGCTTACAAGGACATTGCCCGTCTGCAGCGCACTGGGAAGCGGTACTGCCACTTGAATTACAGGAGCATGATGAACAACCCTCTAAAGATCCAAATCCGTAAAAGTCCTGGACACAAGCGCTACACTGTTTTGAACTCGAGTTTCCAGTCACGTCAATCTGTCCATCAATGGCGACATTAGTTTTACATGGACATTGTCCATTATTTCTATCACACGCACCATTGAGTGATCCACCATCAACACAGTTACAGGCTGCAATATAAAGCAATACAGATAACACAAGATAATAAGCGAATGGTACAATAGGGGTTACTGGCATTGGTGGAATGATAAGATGTTACTGGCATTGGTGGAATGATAAGAGGTTACTATTATTGGTGGAATGATAAGGGGTTACTGTTATTGGTGGAATGCTAAGGGGTTACTGGTATTGGTGGAATGCTAAGGGGTTACTGGCATTGGTGGAATGATAAGATGTTACTATTATTGGTGGAATGATAAGAGGTTACTATTATTGGTGGAATGATAAGTGGTTACTATTATTAGTTGAATGATAAGAGGTTACTATTATTGGTGGATTGATAAGGGGTTACTAGTATTGGTGGAATGATAAGGGGTTACTAGTATTGGTGGAATGATAAGGGGTTACTGTTATTGGTGGAATGCTAAGGGGTTATTGGTATTGGTGGAATGATAGGGGGGGGGGTACTATTATTGGTGGAATGATAAGGGGTTATTAGTATTGGTTGAATGATAAGGGTTTACTAGTATTGGTGGAAAGATGGGAAGTTACTTGTGTTGGTGGAATGATAAGGGGTTATTATTATTGGTGGAATGATAAGGGGTTACTAGTATTGGTGGAAAGAAAGTCTAATGGGTTACTATTATTGGTGGAAGATAAGGTGTTATTGGGATTGGTGCAAAGATAAGCGGTAAGTGTTATTGGTGGTAAGAAAAGGCGATATAGTACTGGTTTTGGTGGAAAAATAAGGGTAACATTTATTGGTAGTCGCAGTGTTCAGAATGCCTTGTTTAAAGATCAAATTACAAACTCTCTTGGGAAAAGTCTAACAGGAAACTATGTTAATTAGAATATTTCGATTTACAACTGTCATGGAATCTTTAACATGCTGCTATAGAATGATATAGACGAGACCTCGGTTTTTCTTCTCGCTCGAACAACTAAATGCCGTTCCTTGTCAAGCTCCTTCCCCCACCCCCCGCATACATCACTGAGAAAGGGGATATCAGACTGGACAATCCCTCTCTAACAACATCGTGGTTGACCCCCCCCCCCCCCCACGGGAACCTCCTGGTTGATGAGCCAGTGCCTCTGCTCACTCAGTGGCGCATGCAGTCATTATAAGAATTGAAAGAGAGCGAAATGGGGTTTAAAGTCCACTCGACACAAAATAGGTCAATTCCGGACTAACACATGGTTCAATTTTATTTCAATAATTCGCTTGCGCGTAGGGGTCTTTCGCAGTGGGAGGAAACCGGAGGATCCGGAGACCTTACTCCTTGTTACGTATAACCGGGGATTCGAATCACGCCAGTTGACTCAATGACTGACCTTATAATACAGCGCGCACGCTCTAACCATTAACCCCCATCCCCGATTACAAGAAGAAATGGCTACACGGCCGTCCATGGATTTGAACACGGGAAAATCCATTTGTGGGTCCTAGCACCTAAACTCCATAGATTCATGCTCTCCCATAACCAAACAACAGAAAATACATGTAATTAAAATTCCACCATTAGTAGTTTGCACATTCTTCGCCATGTCAAATATTTACTGAGTCAATAGTAAGTTTATTAAATCCTGGATGTCAATCAATATATTTATTGCTCAATATCAAGCTGTTCTATTTATGCAGAGATTTTAAAAACATTAAATCGAAACTTCGCCATGTTTGTTCAACTTTGTCGACCAATCCTTGATTTTTAAAGCGATGGTGCATATTTGATTTATATCATCTAAAAGATTAATGTGATGAGAGGGAATACTACTACTACTGTCTGGTGCTTTAACGTCTGCTTCCACAGAAGTAATATCGCAGACAAGACATAGGGAATCTTTATACTCATAATTTCGCCAGTGTTTACTTAAGCTGTCGACAGTTTAATCAATTATCAGTTGATCGACATTAGTTTGTTACCACGAACTTTAACGTGTAGGGCTGTCCACCAGTGTTGAGATCTTATGGTTTCAGTAAACGAGAGGAAATGCTCAATTCTACCAGACCGCTTTATACTCATAATTTCGCTAGTTTTTACTAAAGCTGTCGACAGTTAAAACAATTGTCGCTTTATCGACATTGGTTTGTTATCACGAACTTTAACGTGTAGGGGTTGCCCACCAGTTAGGTGACGTTTAAAACATAGTGATTAAGGTCACAGAGGTTAGTGATCGCTTCCACCGAAGGTGACAGCACAGGTATGTGTAGGTGTTAAAGGCTCAATACCACTCTTGTTGTAACTGAATAATATGTCCCAATCTTTATTCTGGTCAACAAATTGTACTATTTTACAATATTCCAATTAATTGATGATACAAATTTCATATTAACACACCTAATTTAAAAAATTGGAAAAATTCAACTAAATGATTTGAAAAGCCTGACGTAATGCTTTTCAAATGTTACTTGGATTTAAAAATATTTTTGAACCCTCTGGACAAGTAAAATAGAATTTAATGGATAATTTACACAACAGGTAGGACACTAACACATCTAGTACTTAGAATAAAGCTATTTTATATTTTCTGGAGCTGTCAACCCAGTAAGAGTGTTACTGTCCCTGGTTAGGCTTAAGTATAAACCCCTGTTGCCGAAACGCCCTACAGATCTAAATAAATGTGAATAACACTTGGGGTGAATTGTTAAAATAATATATCAGGTCTAACTAGACCTATTAAAGCCGCATTAGGTAAGATTAAAGAGCTGATAGGTCTCGCTATAGTAGTTTAGAGAGAGAGAGAGAGAAATGGGGTTTAACGTCCACTCGACACAAGGGGTTTAACGTCCACTCGACACAAAATAGGTCAATTCGGGTCTAACACATGGTTCAGTTTTATTTCAATAATTCGCTTGCGCGTAGCGGTCTTTAGCAGTGGGAGGAAACCGGAGGACCCGGAGAAAAGCCACGGGGTTGGATAGGCGACCCTACTCCTTGTCAGATACAACCAGGGAATCGAAACCCCGCCAGTTGACTCAATGACAGGCCTTATGATACAGCGTGCATGTGCTAACCATTCGGCCATCAAACCCCCTATAGTAGGTTAAAAAATAGATATTGAAAATATAATATGCTGAAAATGATTTTTGTTGTCGATATTTAGAAAATACGACACCAGACGCACGTGCCACTGAGGTAAGACGTACCTACATCACCTCCGTTATTGATTTTAGAGGCGAACCTGGATTCTTTCTTTATAATCCATTTTGAAATATGAGTAATGGTATAAATTTTATTTAATTATACAAAATCACGCCACACCTATTTTAATAGCTAGATAAGTAAAACGTGTTACCTATCAATCAATAGTAATTGTTTGAGGAAATAATCAATAAAGTTTTATCTACATAATATACGTCATAAAGGTAACACTCGTTTGGCGCATGCACGGTGTTTAAAGTGGCAGTTAGGTCTATGTAGGGAGTCATTCGGCCATGGTCGCCAATTTGGTACCCAAATAAAACAAATATATGTCATATAGGTGACCAAATTAAACAATCATTTATATAAGGCGTGTTTAAAGTTCCCATAGGTCTATGCAGACAGACATATATTAAGAGAGTCTGGCCAAATGCGACCTTGATCTCCAGTTTGTCACTTATTATTATGTTGCAGCGCCGGGTCATCCGCTAGTATCCTTTAAACGAGTCCATGTAAACTAGCATAACTTATGGTCGTTGAACCACACAAACTGTTGAATATCCATATTAGATTTAAAAATGTTAGTTTAGGTTCTAGTACATTCAACATTCTGTTATAATATCCATTGATATCTCGATAAAATCACAAACTTTATTTTTTTTGCCAACTAATTAAAGTATTTAAGTTTTCAAAAGATTTATTTGAGAAATATGGAGGTTAGTAATTTGAACCCTATCAAAAAGCTGGACATGGTTGTTTTTTAAGGAACTAACATATGGTTCAATTTTATTTTCATAATTCGCTTGCAGGTTGGGGTCTCTAGCATTGGGGGGGGGGGGGGCGGAGGGTCCGGAGAAAACACACGAGGTTGGACAGGCAACCCTACTCCTTGTCACGTACAACCGGGGAATCGAAACCACGCCAGTTAACTCAATGACAGACCTTATGATACAACGCGCACGCGCTAACCATTCGGCCATCCAACCTCCACAAATTAATAAAAATAACGCTACTTTAATTTATCAGTATTTCAATTTGAGTTTATTTATTTACAGTTTTCATTGATCGTATAATATTTAAAGTACAGAGGCATTTTACAGAAGAATGCAGGAATTATAATTAAAATTTGGATTCATTTACATATAATTTTTAGTACCCGTATATTATTTACAGTTCAGAGACACTTTAACGAATAATTCGTGAATTATAATCCAAAATTTGATTTTGTAAAAAGACAAAACAAAACAACATTTGAAGGATATTAAACTAATAATGGAATGGGGTTTAACGTCCTACTTTTTTGCACCAGCTGGACTAATGAATACGGACAGGCGTCATGCAGTGTGCTTTGAGGGATTCTTTGCCCGAACAGCAGCATTTCAGGGACCACGGTCTTTGGTACCAATTCTTTACCACGCCCAAGACCAGCTGCACCACAGAGAATGCGAAACCAGAAAGGAAGATCCCGTGAAACTTTCTCGATTTCAAAATCACTATCCAATCACTGGTAAAGTGAAATAAAGCATTTCGACTTTTCAAGCCTTAATTAAAACGAACGCTATTTATCCTGCAGACTTGCAGATCAGTGTCAAGTCTTGGCCAGTGTATTAGAGCACAAAATCATATTACAATGTATTGCGATATAACTCTATTGCAACAGATTGTGAAATCCGTTTCATGAAGGAAACCCTTATTTTTATTAGATCAACAATCAATGTACTTTTAAATAACATTTGGGAATTAGAATCTTGAATGGTGTTATAAAATACGATACAAAAATTTAAAAACAGTGAAAACATAAAATCATTATGGTTTGTTAAAAAAAGGGCGTGTATTAGTATTATGTTGAGTGAAGCTTGCATCATTACAGGAATGTACTGCGCAATGGGCTATTATGCAAGAGGATTGACCGATCGTCCCGCTGCGAGCGGAGAAAAATATCTGATTTCGATGAAAATATTCAGAAGAATACGAAATTTACAAATAAACATAAATATGTGTAAAATCATTAATAGTGTATACAAGAATCTTCTTTTTATGCTATATTTCCGTAACATATAAATTATTGTTCATAATCAATTCATGGTAATCTGGCGAAAATCTGATGTTCTGATGACTCTTTGATACAACAGTAAGTCCACGAGGACCGCACCACACATAAATATAACCCATACGACAAAACCGTGGACAAGACACATAATATACACAGATATCGCAAGCTCTGAACAACAAACGTATATATCTGATCCAGTGAACGGACTTGGGGAGGGGAGAGAGGGGAGGCAGCCGTAAGAGTCCATTGCACTGTACAATCTTGTTATGATGCAGGCTGGACGAACCACTTACGGATGATTATAATATAAAATTTAAAAAGATGACAATATGTATAAAATTTTGGCAAATGTTCCTGGAAGACTAAAATTGTTTATTAAGTATTTCAAAGGCCGTTAAAATGAATACTTTGATCTTAAAAGAATTTTCGCAACTATCATAATATATTATTCCTATTTTTATTTAATCTTCGGCTACACAGGGCATGATGTCTGTAGGCCCGTTTGATCGAGTCACACAATCGAGCCGTTTACTTCATCGAATTCACCAAAGTCTGCATATTGGCGCGTCTTGTTTGATCGAGGCAACAGTTCCTGTCTGGGATTGTTCGTGTCCTTTTCACGATTAAAGAAATCTATCTTTTTACTCGGTTTATCTGTCGATATTTTCGGTCTAGCACCAGCTTCAGCCCCTAGTGATGGCCTAACGGGAGATTGTTCTCGTGGCGGTGTAAACCCATTGTAATCTTCTGGGTACACATATTCCATTGTATTTGACGCCGGATTGATCCGAGAAGCTCTCAACGATGGCATTGGCGACACATTCTTGTCTTTCGTGAGGTTTTTCCGTTTTGGTTTATCAGGCGCTTGTGTCTTTAACTTGTCTGCAAACATTTCTGGCACCCTTATTGGCGAGTTGGCCTTAAATGTATTAAACGGACTTTTCACTGAATCCTGCAAATTTGTTAATTTATTTTTTAGTTTATCCGCTTCTATGTTCACCGTTTTTGGAGCTTTCTTGCCGGGTTGAGATTCCGCATTTTGAACATTTGTTTTATAGGCCGCTGTATACGGTGAAGCTGATTCTTCATTTTCTACGGACGAAGATTCCTCGGGGATGCTATCTAAATCACCAGAATCTTCCGTGTCATATGCCACCCAGCCCCGCGGATTTATACGCACATCTTTGGGGTTTAGTTGAAAGCCTTTATTCGCTCTCTGTTTATTTTTAATTTTTCTGGTCGCTAAATGCTCATTGAAATCGTAACTGTTGGCATTTTTTGCTGGCACAATGTTGTCGTTAATCCTAATTGTTTTATTTTGTTTGGTGTAACACCAGCATATAATTATCAACAGAGGGATGAGCAGAATCCCGACACCAACACCAATAAATATCCCCAAATATTCATCAGCACCAGATCCTGCCACCAGAGGCGTTGTTGTCGCCATTGCTGTCGTAACTACGGTGAGTTCAACTGGAATAACGGGAGTTGTCGTGAAGACTGGACATGGCAACACAGGGCATCCTACCATATGCAAAAGAAAGAAAAAAAAAGCACCGAATTACCAAAATGAAAAAGAAAAAGAGTTCATCTCAAAATCTGCTTTATTTACAAAAAGTACATAGAAAATTTGCGAACTCCTCAAATGAGAAGTGGTATGGGTGGTTTTCAAAGTAGTGAGAATATCGTGCCTCGTGCTCCACACGTATCCGCCATTTATCTCTGTCTATTTCTTAATGATATGGATACTCATATACATGTACGATCTATTTATAGATAAATACCAAAAGCATCGACGCCAGAGGGTTATAAAAATATAAAAAAGCAAGTAGCAAATTCGAGTAACACTTACTCGAATTTTCCATAATGGAAAATAAAATATATTTCCTAAAAAGCTATGGCATTAAAATTATAATGGATTATATCAACATCGGGGCAGGGATTAGGCATGTATGGTTCGTTAAATTAACGGAATCAACAGGCTAAGATATGTCAGTCTACTTCCAAGGTTTGTTATGGTCACCTTTTGAAATTAACAGATTTAACAGGCTGTAGGATATGTCAGTGTTCGTCCTAGGTTCGTTAAAGTCACCTTTTGAAATAAACATTAACAGATTTTAACAGGCTAGGATTAGTCAATGTTTGTCCTAGGTTTGTTAAATTCGCCAATTCAAATAACAGAAATATATTTCCTTAAAAGCTATGGCATTAAAATTATAATGGATTATATCAACATCGGGGCAGGGATTAGGCATGTATGGTTCGTTAAATTAACGGAATCAACAGGCTAAGATATGTCAGTCTACTTCCAAGGTTTGTTATGGTCACCTTTTGAAATTAACAGATTTAACAGGCTGTAGGATATGTCAGTGTTCGTCCTAGGTTCGTTAAAGTCACCTTTTGAAATAAACATTAACAGATTTTAACAGGCTAGGATTAGTCAATGTTTGTCCTAGTTTTGCTAAATTCGCCAATTCAAATGACAGAATCAACGGACTAGGAGTCATTGTCTACGATATCACCTTAGGTGGAAGTGGACGTAAAACTCCAGAAAGGAACGACCGACGACTAGGAGTCACCAGGAAGTTATTGTCGCCTTTTTCATCAACATAATCTAAAGTGGTTATTCAGGGCTAGTCAACAGCGTGGGATTAGAGTTCGTCACTGCTGTGTATTCGATTGATAATCAAGATGCTGGGATTAGTCAGGGTGAGTCACTGTTGTCGATTTGATCAATAGAATCAACAGTGACATCATGATTTTCTATGGGTTTTTTTTTACCTAACAAAATATGTACAGTTTAAATGGCGGAAAGCAGATTTTGAGTTGTAAATCATAAAATTGTACCAAAACTGAAAAAGGACCAACCACCAAATAAGAAGGAACATTAAAAGAAAAGTGTAGGGGAGGGGGTAATAGACCGCGAATTGGGTTATATTAATCTACATTATTATTAGACAAGTTTAGTCCCAGCTCCAACCCATTCAATAAAATAGCTAGGCCTCTTCAAATTAGACACACACCCCGCCCCACACCAAATAAAAACTTTTAAAAAACAATAAGTAAATAAATGCCGATATCACTGGATTTTATGTGGTTTTGATCAGTTCAGTTCAAGAGAACTATTTTTGAAATTCTGCTCCAATTAAATTGTTTTTCATAAACGCGTTGTGTTTCATTCAATGTGACAAATTACTAAACGTCACTTAAACAACAATCTGCCTTCGCTCAAAATGTTTATATTCATAGCTAAAGCCAAGCTTTTCTAGTACTACAGGTAGTAATCACTGAACAATTGTCAGAATGGGTGGAGGTGGCGGGATGGAGCGGGATGGCCGAATGGTTAGCACGTGCGCGCTGTATCATAAGATCTGTCATTGAGTCATCTGGTGTGGTTTCGATTACCCGGTTGTACGTGAAAAGGAGTAGGGTCGCCTGTCCAACCTCGTGGGTTTCCTCCCACTGCTAAAGACTCCTACGCGCAAGCGAATTATTGAAATAAAATTGAATCATGTGTTAATCCCGAAAGGACCTAGTTTGTGTCGAGTGAACATTACCCCCCCCCCTCTCTCTCTCTCTCTCTCTCTCTCTCTCTCTTCGCGTTCAGAAAGTCCATTACTATGAGAAGTCAAATTGTTTTTGAGTGTGTCAACAGTAATTCTGTGTCAGTTTTAAAATTTAACCCCCAGAAGCTCCAATTCCTTCTTCACAACAGCATATAGTCTGTTGATCAAATAAATAGTCTGTAATACCTAACATGAAGCTAGTATAGTTAAAGGAGTATTATGGAAGATTGGATAAAGAGCTGGCAGATCTCACTTTAATAGTTAAGAACTAGATAATGTAAAGGGAATATGCTGAAAATTTCAGTCAAATTTCCTCCACTCTGAACCGAGATATTAGCGATTGAATTTTAGGCTTATCCTCGTTCATCATTACTAAAGTCGGTATAATAAAAATCATAGTCTCGATTATCCAGTTGTGCATTTAATCATCATTGACAGTTGAGCATGAGATAGGATTCAAATGCAGTGAAAATCGAAGACACAAGGTGGTATCGAGAGTTGATTAAGGTCTTTTCATGTTAATAAATGTCTAATTAATAGTTTATATAACATTTCAGGCCTAAAGAAAGACCTGCAATAGGCAGATTTAGCTCTTGCATAATGTAAGTTTAAGATTTGGGTAGATTACGCAGGATATTGTAAGTCTTTAGATGAAGACAGGCCCGGGGCTACTTCACTGATGATACCACCCCGATTCTTACGAATGTGTGTTTCTAAAACAACAGAACTGAGCAATGACGGATGTTTTAAGACCAAGATTGTGTAAGACGGGCTTTTGACAGTGCTATGATACTTTATATAAGATGGGATGAATAGACCACCACCTCCTTAATTAACTAGCATTCGCTTAAAGAATTTAAAGATACAGGATATTGATTGAACGGATAAAATCTACTTACGTTTGCATCCATCGATTGTCAGATTGTAATATCCCGATAAACATCTGCTACATGTCCTTCCTCCTACCCCTGGTTTACATTGACACTGTCCTCCCACAGCATCACAAACAGTACCAACTACAGTTCCTGTAGGATCACATCCGCAGACTGAAATATTGAGTAAATAAAACTATTAGACAGACAGCTTTTCAGAGCAGGATCACAAATCACAAGCAGTACCAACTACATTTCCTGTAGGATCACCTCCACAGAGCGAAATATTGAATAAATAAAACTATTAGCCAAACATCTTATCAGAGCAGTATGAGAAACATTATCAGCCACAAACTGAAACATTACAAAAAAAACCCCACCAATTAACAAACAGTCAATAGCCTATACAAAGTGAAACAAATGACGCCCTCCACCGAGGATTGGAACATACTCCGAAACAATGGAGATACAGCTTCTGTGAATATATAAAACAGGACCACAAGCAGTATCATCTATAAACTGAGGAACGTTGGTCGCTGGGTTCGTATTGCATTTAATGAAAACTTCGCCAAAGTCACCCATTGGGGGACTGATTCTTTCCCCAATGGGCAAAGGCACCATTGGGTGCGCCGATGTTTTCCAGGGGAGGCAGCTGTCCCTCTTGCACCCCCCCCCCTCCCCGCTAGCCAAGGACCCTGCTAATCCCCACGGACGAACTCATGGAACAGACTACAGATTCTATATAGAACAACAAATAACCAATCAACCACAATTACGATCTTCACAGAATGCTTGTACGATATGAATAATAATTCCAAGGTAAACGTAATTCGAGCCTCTAATCTTTATAACATAAGTCTGATTCCGTCTTTATAAAGGTCATTTGACGTACAAGACATATGATAAAATAACTTACCATTGGTTGCATTATTTATTTCAGCTCCCACGGATCTGAGAAGTGCACTGCACGTTGTTTCCTGAAGAGTCGCATCTCTCGTATTCAGTCCCACCATTTTACTTGCGCATCTCTGGTACAAGCCTGTAGTCGCTGCCATATTCGCTAAAAACAATTAATGGAAAGTCATCATTTTGTTAGTTCCCTTGATTAACTATAACAGTTGTACCATTTCTCTGATCATACTAATAATTAACATCAAATAGCATTTATTTAATCCCATTTCAAATTATCTTTCTTACGGAACGTTTTGATGTGGTCTAAAGTTTTACTCGTCTGCTCCAACTGGGCTAATGAGAAAATATTGTTGCCAGAACAGTGGCGCAACGCCCACCTGTTATTTCGGTTTTTAAGGGGGGTTGGATGGCTGAATGGTTAGCGCGTGCGCGCTGTATTATAAGGTCTGTCCTGGCGTGGCGTGGTTTCGATTCCCCGGTTGTACATGACAGGGAGTAGGGTCGCCTGTCCAACCTCGTGGATTTTCTCTGGGTCCTCCGGTTTCCTCTCACAGCTAAAAACCCCTACGCGCAAGCGAATTGTTGAAATAAAATTGAACCATATGTTAGTCCCGAAATGACCTAGTTTGTGGCGAGTGGACGTTAAACCCCATTTAACGTGCTATTGTTCTGCTCTAACATGGCTAATGAAGACGGACATGCACAGTGGGCTCTGTGGCCTACTCTTATATCGAATTTAAAATGTCAATGGATCTTTTACGGGCACGCCAATATGTACACGGTAATAGAAATAAGGAAACAGTGATAATTATACATACTGCTTTCCTCATAAGTCCGGAAGCTTGCCACGACCGTAGAACCATTCATCTTGGTTAGAGCTGGAACCAATATGGCGGAATCTATGTTGATATAACTGGTCGAGCCTTGAATACCTTGTATAGCTAGGGATACTGTATAGGTACTGCGTAAATCTATATCCACGGTAACACCAGTAACAAGTACTCCAGTTGATATACCTGTGTACATAATTACAAAATATTATTATAATATTATTCAAACAAAGAAAATGAAATGAAATTGGGTTTAACGTCCTACTGTTCTGCTCCGACAGGACTAATGAAGACGGACATACGTCATACAGTGAGTTATGAGGGTTATTTTGTCCAGACAGTGGCACTACAGCCTACTCTTATTTCGAATTCAGCTGTCATGGGTTCTTTTACGGGCGCGCCAATATGTACACGGGACTTCGGTTTTTCGTACCATCCGAACGACTATACGTTATCCCTACGTCCTGCACCACACTGATAAAAGGAAATGGCATGCATGGGGCATGTTTCAATTCCAACACGTGTACATTGCAAGGAGTAGGATCGCCTGCCCAACCCCTCCGATTTCCGCCCAAGGCCAACGGCCGCAACTGGCTAGCGAAATATTGAAGTGCAATTCAACTATATCTTAGCCTTAAACCCCGTTATACAACACTGGTTCCGAATAACACTCCATAAAAGTAAATCGTTAAAAAGAAGGTCTGGATAACTCGAATAACATCCCGGTAACGTAAATTGTGATAGACCAATGTATCGAATAACATCCGGGGTAAAGTAAATCGTGATAGACGTGTACCAATATCTCCAATAACATCCTGGAATATTGAGTCGTGAAGCACTTGAACGAAAATCCCGAATAACATCTCGGTAAAAGTAAATCGTGATAGAGATAGTCTCAAATAAGATAGCCCGACAATACAACTTGTGACTGGGATAATAAAGTATTTCAAATTACATATCACGGTCTATGTGGTTTCAATAGATTTACCTGAAAATGGCATACTCACCCATCGTTAAATTTAATGGTATCTCAACCGAAGAATTGTCCGGTATGTTATAATCAGCCGTAGGGAGAGTTACACCAGTTAGACTTCTAATATCTTCTACAGTGGCACCGCTCGCTCCAGTAGCTTCAATCATTAGCATAGCCAAAATGGTTTCTGTCGTGTTCACACTGTATCGTATACCCGCATAATAGGGCCTGTAATTCAAAAGGAGAGATATCACTTGTCTGCGATATCACCTCGGTGGAAGCGGACGTACAATACAACTAACTCAAACACAAAAGGAGAGAATACAGCAACTGGTCGTTGGTCATAATAAGGTTTCACTAGTCGTTAGCTACCTGGATAGGGGCTGCGAATTCCTGCTTCGCTAACCATTCATAAACTACGGTGGACCCGTCTCTCAGTCACCAATAGTAAGTTTGTTAGGAAACATATGCCCGCGATGTTATCCTATGTTGAAGCGGATGTTAATCCCTATAGTAGTAGTATTAGCAATATAGATCATCAATCAACAACCAGACGATTTGAAAGGCATTGGAATAGGATTTATCGGTTAGGTCTAAAAATTAAGGTCACCTGCAGATTTTGTCAAGGTCACGAGATGTAAACAGGGCTAGCGCTGACCCTATCTCTAACCATAGACTTAGCCCTAACCCTAGCACATAATCTCGTCAACAAGAGAAATTTATTTCAATTTCCAACTGCCTGAGGATCTTTATCGTCATATCTGTGGTATTTAGTCTTGAAACATCCCGTGGAACTTTCTCGTTCAACATCGGGACCTACGACGTGGTTGTTAAGAAATGCCATTTAGAGATGTAAGAATATTTTTCTCGGGACCACAAACTATCAAATTCTTACGCATATAATTGTGAATGTTATTTGACATTTTGTGGTGAGGGGTTGGGATGTTCTAGTAGTCATGGTTTCAATCGCCGATGTGTGCGTATGTGGCTTGAAGATAGGGGCACTTTCTCAATTTCGTGGGTTTACTTAGGGTACTCCAGTTTCCTCCCAAACGAAAGACCCCCTGCGCATGCTCTTAGCATAATAAAATAAGACAACTTGTCTGCGATATCATCATCGTTGGAAGTGGACGTTAAACATTAATAAAAGGAGAAAAGGGCATTTTGTTAGTAAAACGCTCTTGTATCTTGAGGATCCCTTTCTATGTAATTTTTAAAAGACCTAACCGGTAATGAGAACATACCAAGATACATCCATTTGTTTCCTGGCTGTCACGATTGATGCAAAATTCAATGTTACATTTTTCTCTAGAGGACACTTTGCAAACTGTGTTCCATCAAACGGCTGTTCTTGCGTCCAAAGATCCTCGTTGACGGTGCAATCAGATGCCACTCCCCCCTCGGGTTCTAATCTGAAGTCGTCCACGGTAGGAACATAAAAATTGGATTCAATGATGGTACATTTATCGTCGGTTATGTGGTCCTTACAGAGACACCTGCCAGTAGCTTTATCACAGGCCTTACTGACGGAACCACCTGGATCACAACCACAGGATAAACAACCCTGTAAGAATATAAACACACAATATAAAACATACATTATGTAATAGCTAAATCTGCCTACTGCAGGTCTTTCTTTAGGCCCGAAATCTTATTTAAATTATCACTGAAACATTTTTCAATATGCCAAGCCTTTAATCAACCCTCTAAAGTTGGGTACCGGGGTGGTGGTGGTAGGGGGGGGGGGGTTATTGGCAACTAATTTACGAAAGATATAATAATTAATGAATTACATATTCTAATGAAGGTATAATCCACACAAAATAAATCACATAACCTAAGTGTTCGAAATTTGGAGATGGCTGAAATCTAACCTGTGCCGGGATTCCTCGCGGGAACTGGTAAAAACCATCTTTACAGACGTCACATTTCCGATCATCTGTCGAAGGCTTACAAGGACATTGACCATCTGTTTGACCACACACGTTACTTCCATCTACAGTACCATCTGTATCACAATTACACACTGAAACACATTTCAAAATCCATGTAAATACATATAGCAATCACTCGTATCATTTAGGAAATAATAATCATATTATCGTTTACCTTGTGCTTTTTAACGACAAGAAGATTCTTGTTGAAACGTTGCACTATTAATGTTGCTAGCAATTGTTATCCATAAAGTTGTTATTACTATCACTAAATGCCTTATAAACAATATAGTAAATAATTGTCTATAACAAGTGTCTGTATTATACAATATACAGAAAGGGTTTGTATCATTACATTGCAGTAAGCATGCGTATCATTACCTAATATAACACTGCAGTAAGTATCTGTATCATTACATTGCATATGTGCATCGTTATCTAATCAAATAAGAAGCAAGCTTCTGTGTCATTGCATAATAAAATAAGCATATATACATTTGCATATCATTACATAATAAAATAAGCAGCAAACACCTGTCTAATTACAGAATAATTAAACATACATTATGCAAGAGCTAAACCTGCCTATTGCAAGTCTTTCTTTAGGCCTGAAATGTTATCTAAATTATTAATTAGACATTTATTAACTTATCCAGACCATAATCAACTCTAAACAGCGATATTTACTGGATTAGGATCTGATTTGCTGCTCAACTTTCATTCATGATTAAGTCATGAAATGGATAATCGAGACTATGTTTTTTTTATCGTACCGACTTTAGTAATGATGATCGAGGTTAGGCCTAAAATTCAATCGTTAAATTCTTGGTTGAGAGTGGATCAATTTGACTGAAATGTTCAGCAAATTCCCTTTACATTATCTAGTTTTTAACTGTCAGCATAATGTATTTTTAATAGAAACAGCCGCCAAACAATTAATAAATGAAACTCACTTTTGCAGGTTCCAGGACTGTCAGCCATTAACAGTCCATAATACTGGGGATCACATGCATCACATCTTCTTCCGGTTACTAATGGTTTACACTTACATTGTCCAGGTAGTTGTCCCAATACGTTGGTAGTCTGGATACACGAACTGTTTGTGTCCGTGACACCCAGTACTTCACATGAACACTCTGTAATGAAATGTAATGGGGTTTAATGGAAATGTAATGGGGTTTATAACGTAGTACTTTTCTACACCAACAGGGATAATGAAGGGGGCTATAAACCATTCCATAAGGCCTGTCATTGAGTCAACTGGCGTAGTTTCGAATCCCCGGTTGTACGTGACAAGGAGTAGGGTCGCCTGTCTAGCCTCGTGGGTTTTCTCCGGACCCTCCGGTTTCCTCCCACTGCTAAAGACCCCTATGGGCAAGCGAATTATTGAAATAAAATTAAACCATATGTTAGTCCCGAAATGATCTATTTTGTGTCGAGTGGACGTTAACCCATCTCTCTCTCTCTCTCTCTCTCTCTCTTTCTTGCCCTCTCTCTCTCTAAGCCATTCGGTACACAATGGACGACATTGTTGACTAATCCTTGTCGAATTCCAACTGACAAGGATTCTTTTACACCCACTCCAGGACAAGTTTCCATCGATTGTCCGTGATCACCTGGTACCCAGGGACTCTTCCAGCGATTGTTCCACGCACTTGGTGTACTTGCAATAAGAGTTTATTTCATTACATTCTTGGAATTTTGAATATTGGAAATCCTTGGATCTTTGGATAATGAATCACAAAATACAAATTATTCTTACCGGTACATCTCTGCGTATCGTTTAAGGGCAAGGTTGTATTAGGGAAAAATCCCTGTACACACTCTTCACAATGCTGGCCTGTTGTATTATGTTGACAGTCGATACACACGCCACGCCCTACTGTACTGTTATACATACAACTAGTCGCATGATCATTACATTCACATTCTGAAAAAAATAGTAAAACATCATCATTACATTCTGAAATATTGCAACACGATTATTACATTCTCACTATGTTCATTACGTTCTGTAATAATAGACCATAATCACAACATTCAAATTATGCAATTACGCACATTGGTATTACATTTTTATAAAAATAGCTCATGGTCATTACATTATGTAATATAGTACACCATGATCATTACATTATGTAGCCATACACTATTGACATTCCATTATGTAATAGTACACCACGGGCATTACATTATGTAACCACTAGAAGAATGCCTGGCTTCGCTCGGGGGTCATAACTCCGAAACCGGAAGTGGTAGACTAACGCCACCTGGCCTATGTTACTCCCCGGTCCGAGCTACCCCTATACCCCAAATTTCAGACTCGGGGCAGACCTAGTGTAGCCGCCAACCCCGAACAGACAGACAGACAGACAGACCAACGACAGTCACAAATATTAGTATATAATAGAATAGATACGGCATTACATTATGTAACAGATACGGCATTACATTATGTAATAGTACCACGTGACCATTACATTATGTAACCATACACCATGGTTATTACATTATTTAACAGTACACGGTGACCATTACATTATGTAACCATACACCATGATCATTAGATTATGTAATATTACACCACGAGCATTACATTAACATAAACTAGTAATAACTCATGGTCATTACATTATGTAATAATACACGATGATCATTACAATCTGTAATAGTACACCATTATCATTACATTTAAATAATGTAATGCAAACTCATGATCATTACATTCTGTAAAAATACTTCATGATCACATTCTGTAAACTAACCCATGATCACGTTATGTAAAATCATTTCATGATCATAGCATTCTTTTAAAAATACACTCACAGTCATTACATTCTGTAAAAATGCAGCATTATCATTGATCATTACATTATTTAATAATACATAAAATCGTTAAATATACACTCTGGAATAATAGAGAATGGGCATTACATTCGGTAAAAATAACCCATGATCATTGTCTAGAAAATATATTTATTTTTAATAACATTTCAACTAGATCTCATTTTTACATATTACGTGTAATGTCATTGGTAACGTGTAATATCCAGGGCTCGGGAACTTGAAATCTGATTAAAACACAGGTCCTATTTCGTTTCGTTTTTTATAGTTCAAAATTTCGTTTTATTTGTCTGTACTACACTAGAGAGAGAGAGAGAGATTGGGTTTAACGTCCATTCTATACAAACTAGGTCATTTCGGGACTAACACATGGTTCAATTTTATTTCAATAATTCTCTTGCGCGTAGGGGTCTTTAGCAGTGGGAGGAAACCGGAGGACCCGGAGAAAACCCACGAGGTTGGACAGGCGACTTAAAATACAGACACTCGCACGTGCTTTGCAATAAAATACGTCCAAAATTTTAACTAGTATAAATAATGTACGCTTGGCACATTACCCGTACCATTATTTGAAATAATGATACACCAACATCAAAGGATGACGTCACATCTGAATTTTAATATATATATAATGTATGACATTTCTAGTTCTGATATTGTATTAACGGGATCAGCTGTTACCTGTTACCATGAGTAGGTAGGCTTATTTCAAATAGGTAAATACCATATAAGTGGACCATTTTATTATCTGGGATATTAAATTTAATAGCTCATTGATTTTCTTGACTCAGATTTCAGTTAGTCGGACATTTCTATTAAACTTCCAAGATGTTTTAATTTAATGGAAATTAGTTTGCGTTTTTACAAAAGACTGGAAATTTAATCTCAGCTATTAAATTGGTAATGTCATTTTAATTTTTGACAAATAGTGCTTTTCGTTTATGCAATAAAAACCGAAATCCAGCTGTCGTTAGTTTTAGGTGGAATTAAACTTAGTTTCACAGAATTCGTTTGCACTTTCTCGAAGGAAAGAATTAAAATCTCAAATATTTAAATCGTAATGTCATTTTAATTTTGACAAAGAGTGCTTTCATTTTATGCAATAAAAACCGAAACCTATGCTGTCTTGAGTTTTAGGTGGAATTAAACTTAGTTTCATAGAATTCAAAAGAAAGAAATAAAATCTCAAATATTAAAATCGTTATGTCATTTTTTATTTTTGATGGATATTTCTCTTAGACTTTCATTGAATAAAACCCCAAACTACATTAAAGGCTCAATACCACTCTTGTTGTAACTGAATAATATGTCCCAATCTTTATTCTGGTCAACAAATTGTACTATTTTACAATATTCCAATTAATTGATGATACAAATTTCATCTTAACACAACTAATTTAAAAAATTGGAAAAATTCAACTAAATGATTTGAAAAGCCTGACGTAAAGCTTTTCAAATGTGACTTGGATTTAAAAATATTTTTGAACCCTTTGGACAAGTAAAATAGGATATAATGGATAATTTACACAATAGGTAGGACACTAACACATCTAGTACTTAGAATAAGGCCATTTTTTATTTTCTGGAGCTGTCAAGCCAGCAAGAGTGTTATTGTCCCTTTAATATCAAGCTGTCTGGAGGTTTACGAGAAATTGAACTAGTTTCACAGAATTCGTTTGCATTTTATCAAAAGAATTATATAAAATCCCAAATATTAAAATTGTAGTGTACTTTAATTTTTGACGGATATTGCTCTTAGAAGAAAAGTCTAGTTGATGAAATAAAAACAGAAATTAGTATAATTATATCAAGTTGTCTGGGGTTTTACGTGAAATTGAATTAGTTTTAAAGAATTCGCTTAAATTTCAAGTTTTGACGAATATTGCTCGTGGAAGAATAGTCTAGTTTATGAAATAAAACCAAAATTACATTTATATCAAGCTGTCTCGAGTTTTACGTGAAATTAGTTTTTACAGAAATTCGGTTTGGCTTTTTTTAATTGTAATTTTAGATATTTAAATCTTAACGTTTTGACGAATATTGCTCATAAATTTTTTTTGCACTTTCCCAAACGATATTAAAATCGTGATGTGATTTTAAGTTTTGACGAATATCTCTCCTAGATGAACAAAATTAGTTTAATGGAAATTCGTTTGCGCTTTGTTTAAAAGAAATGAATATCGTCTCAAATATCAAAATCTTAAAGTTACAATTTCATATTTTTTTAAGAAAGTCAAAACATAATTATTTCTATGTCTTTTGCTCAATAGGTTGTCAACTCACTATTATACGATCATAGGTTATCTTTCTCACACTTAAAAATCTTTACACCGGAAATAATAATACAATTACCTCCCTTGTTTTCTATTCTCCACCATGGAGTAGCTATCTTCAAACGTTTGAAATGGAAGTTGAAAATGATATTTTTGCCAATTTCTCAGCTGGCAATAGTGAATTATAGGATTAATAGGATTATTCTTTAACAAGGTAGGATTGTTTATAGATACCATCTATTTTAAGGGCTTTATTTTAATACATTTTAAAAATATAACTTAAAAATATGAAATTGTAACTTTAATGTAATTTTAATTTTTGACGAATACTTCTCATATAGATAAATAGTCTAGTTTGCGAAATTAAAACAAAACCGACAATAACATAAGATGTCGAGATTGTTACGTGAAATTTAACCAGGCATTATATAAGAGCTAAATCTACCAAATGTAGACCTTTCTTTAGGCCTTAAATGCTATATAAATTATTAATTAGACAATTATTAACATGACAAGACCATAATCAACTCTCGATGCCATCGGATAGCTCTGAATTTAGGTAGATTAGAACGGTTAGCCATTTAATGACTTAATTCAAAAATGGAGAAGCGAAGCTAACACCCGAATGATCAGTAAAGTGGTTACGATCAATGCACACATCGTGTCAAAACTACAGCTATTGATAACTTCGCTCAAAATAAAGTAATCTGAATGAAATTTTTAATATATTCATTTTGCATTATCTATTTTTGAAATGTTATATCGAGAACGGTCTGCTCTTTATCTAAATCTTACATAATATGCCTTTAACTAGTTTCATTTAATTTCGTTTGTGAATATTTAAAGAATGGAATTAATATACAGTAGAATCTGTGTGAGCAGCCACCCCTTTTCAGCGACATCTCCTTGTAAGCGGTCACGATAAATTGCCCCCATAAAAATTCTATTGAAAATCCTTAAGGTCATTTGAAGCTTCAAGCATACTGCTCGTAGAAGAATAGTCTACTTTATGAAATAAAAATCGAAAACTATATCATTTCAAGCGAGCAAAACCATAAATTTTGTTTCTAAATTTTAAAATTCTTATTTGTTAGACAGGAAACAAAAATTAAACCTTTATTTAAAACGCAAAATTTGCATTTAACATCCATTCTAGTTCCGAAAATCGTGTTTGTTGAGATGTAAAAAAATTAAAATGAAACCTACTAGTACATTCATTCGGTGTTCCGTTAGGATAGGGTGAATAGGTTCCGGCCCTCCAAGGTCGATCGTTGTACATAGGTAGACATCTTTCACACTCACGTCCGTCAGTAAAATGTTTGCAGACACACTTTACCTCGCCGTTTTCAGTTGAAGTTGTACACGATGAACCATGTAAGTTACAAAAACATCTGAAACGAAATGAAAAGGGGGTTAACGTCCTTCTTTTCTATTCCAATTGGACTAATGGAGTCAGGCATACACCGAACATTTCGAATTCAATCTGTCATGGGTTCCTTTACCCTGACCCCGACCCCGACCCCGATCACACACATCCCTACTATCACTTAGATAATTCAAGCTATTATGTCCTCACTACACCCTTGTTTATGTCTAAGAAACAGCAGGATTTAACATTTAAGTCAATTTGAAGTAAATACCAGTCTGAATCCATATTGCATTCCGAGAGTTGTCTCCCTTCATACCGGTATCGTAAATTGCATTATTAGGAGCAACTGTCCTTTGTCACTAACCGGTCCGTGCGAGCGATTGCTATGGGGGCGGGACGGGACGGGGCGCGGGGGTAGGTGGGTGTCATGTGCCCGAACAGCGGCGCTACAGCTTACTCTTCCATCAAATTCCAACTGTCAAGGGTTCTTTCTTTTACGAGCACGCCAATATGTACCCGGGATCTCTGGTTTTCGTCCCACCGAACGACTATACGCTGTCCCCTGCCATGCACTCGCCCTGCACCACTGTCATGAAGCTAACTCAATTTAATGTTTCCAGACCAATTATACAAACTTATATATTATACAAAATGTCCATACCTTCCTGTTATTTCAATATTAGAGATAGCATAGTAATAATTCATGAATTTAGTGACACTACGGGAAGTCTCGTCTGCATCTGTAGCCGGGTAAATAAGCCTAATTCGTAAATCTGTAAAACTCAGGAAATTCAGAATATCCGACTGCTCAATCGAGTCGTAGTAGGTTTTATAGTCGGTTCCTGCAGCTCCTAACAGTTGGAGTAATCGATCGTTGAACGCAGCAAACTTTACTTGACCTCCTGGCTGAGGGTTGAAGACGTTTCCACTGTATCGGGTCGTGCAGATTACTTGATCAAGTTTTTCTTTAGTAACCTGTGAAGCTACACCATCAATACTCAAATAGTTCGCACAGTTTCTCGCGTAGTACTGAAGAGCTGTCCATGTTTTTCCGTAATCCATAGATTTCTCTAAAATCATTTTTCGCGGTCTCCCGGAATTGAAGGTAATGGTCATATCATCGGCAAAACGATAGAGTTTATTGAAAGATAAGATTATACTGATTTCGAAGCTGTTGGTATTGTCATAAGTTGCAATCGGCCACGTGATGGACTGCCACCATGTTGCTTCATCGTCATCAACCATAGCACTCACAGGATGTTGACCGACGCTGCACGTTCTTGCGGTAATGGGGCTCTGAAAAATATATAAAAAATGTAATGGCATGTTTGTATAAAATATTTATCAGAATTTTAGGAGAAAATTCAAAGATACACAGGGCCATAGGGAATTTGTCTTGCATAATCTATTGACGATGTTATTCGTATCCACAGTAGGATGATGGTTGAATTAGGGTTAGGGTTAAAATTAGGGTTAGGGTTAAGCTTAGGGTTAGGCTTTTGTTTAGATGTAGATTTAGGGTAGGATTAGGTTTATAAACTTTGGTTTAGATATGGGTTAGGGTAACAGTGTGGTTATTTATTCGTAAACAGTGTGGTTACGTGAGTAATCTTTATTCGTAAACAGTGTGGTTACTGGAGTAATCTTTATTCGTAAACAGTGTGGTTACTGGAGTAATCTTTATTCGTAAACAATGTGGTTACGTGAGTAATCTTTATTCGTAAACAGTGCAGTTACTGGAGTAATCTTTATTCGTAAACAATGTGGTTACGTGAAAAATCTTTATTCGTAAACAATGTGGTTACGTGAGAAATCTTTATTCGTAAACAGTGTGGTTACGTGAGTAATCTTTATTCGTAAACAGTGTGGTTACTGGAGTAATCTTTATTCGTAAACAGTGTGGTTACGGGAGTTATCTTTATTCGCAAACAGTGTGGTTACGTGAGTAATCTTTATTCGTAAACAGTGTGGTTACTGGAGTAATCTTTATTCGCAAACAGTGTGGTTACTTGAGTAATCTTTATTCGTAAACAGTGTGGTTACGGGAGTAATCTTTATTCGTAAACAGTGTGGTTACTGGAGTAATCTTTATTCGTAAACAGTGTGGTTACGGGAGTAATCTTTATTCGTAAACAGTGTGGTTACGAATAACGTTATCCATTGGTTATACGCGCCGTTATTTTGCGACTGTCAGATTAAAGCTGTTAACATTTTCGAGGAGCACAAGCGCATTCACTGCATTACTTGCCTTTACGCATTTTTAAAATCATAAAACGCGAAAATAAGTGTTAATGCAGTGTTGGATAATTTATTTCTATTTTGGATGATTTCGGCGCTTTCGACTTTTATAATCAGTTAATCTTACGTAAAATGGAAATAAAATGGAGTTTAACGTCCAAGATTTTCTGCATCGACCGGGCTAATACACACGGGCATACACCATGCAGAATAGTAGGACGTTAAACCCATTTCAGAATAGTAGGACGTTAAACCCCATTACGGAAATAGTAGGACATTAAACCCCATTACGGAAATAGTAGGACGTTAAACCCCATTTCAGAATAGTAGGACGTTAAACCCCATTTCAGAATAGTAGGACGTTAATCCCCATTTCAGAATAGTAGGACGTTAAACCCGATGATTAGTTTATATGCTTAAACCCAATTTTATCAGCACTGACAAACTAGGACTGTGTATTTAATTGTAAATAACGGTATAAAATATAGTAGAACATCTAGATAAAATTTACAGCCGGGATTTTATCAATATAATACATAAAATAACCTTATGTTTATTATAATTTGATAGACTAGCCGTGTTCATAAAATTTTTATTCAGTATAAGGATCAGACAGTCGTATATTGATATTTCTCTCTCGCAATTTTAATTTCATTTAAAGGGCCTATCTCGATTATATTTTGGAGAATAAAACTACTTTATTTTGTGTAAAAAGCCCTTAAAATCCTCCAACTTAGGGCCGAACAACTAGCTCAATATACGTGATACGTTTTTAAACAACTTAACAGTCTTCATCTGGAAACAAGTACAGAACTTGGTCCCTGCACTGTATAGACCGCCAAAGGAACGGTAATCGATTCTCAGGTCACCCAACGAAAAAATGACCCGAAATCTGAAAAGGGTTACGTGTCCAGATAAGCGGGTTTGACGTTCACGTCGAAACGACTCAATATTTTGAGCTGAAATTTTGAGACAAGGTAAATACATCTTTCATCTGTATTTTGGCGCTTAAATTTCATACGTACACAGAATTTTTATTTTTGAGACTCTGTTCAAATCGGGATAGCCCCTTTAAATATTATATTATATTTTCAAACAAACTATATATATATACATGTATATATATATCCCCCTGGAGAAATCAAGTTGTACCGGAAGTAGGTGTGTATGTAGTTTTATGGTTACAATGACTATGCCTTCTCGATTTGGGTAAGAAACAAAATTGTTGATTCCATTGCATTTAATGTGTTTGTTAGTTTTGTGTGTTGCCAATCTGTCTTTGTTGAAATTTTAACGTCTTTTGACAAAGTTATCTCCACTGTTGACAGATTCAGACAAAATGTTAACCAGAATCAGTAAACATGCTTCCGCTTAATTGTCCCAGACATTTTGTTTTTAATCGTATAAAGCTTGTCCCATCACTAATTGAAAAATAATACACTAAATTCAGAATTTCTGAAAGGAATATAAAGTCCAAAGTTAAATTTCGTTTGGTATTTAAAAACATTGGGCATGTTTAGCATACGGCAGAAACATGCCAGTCGCATGTCCAACCTCGTGTGTTTACTCCTGTTCCTCCGAAAACAAATAGAGCCATATGTTAGTTCCAAAATGACCTAGTTTGTGTGAAGTGGATGCTAACAGCCCCCCCCTCTCTCTCTCTCTCTCTCTCTCTCTCTCTCTCTCAACGCCAAAATAATAATAAAAAGAAAAACGTGCAGAATAGACTGTCGTTCAATTAGAGCTGTCGTTCAATTATTTCACCGAACATACTTGTTTAAAAATTATTTTTCATAATTGAATATTAATCACTTTACATACACTCATATTACATTAATAATTATATGTTCTTTAAACCAACGCCATACGCCCTTTAAAAGGCCAATATGTTGGGGTTTTTTTCAAAATACTTTTGATCGATACCTGTTGTATTTTCAAATAATAAATTTAATACATTGTTATAAGTTTTCCTGAATTGATTTACTATATACCCATTTATCAACCGTACAATACAAACTTATTGAATTAAATAATAATATATAATCAATTAATAGAATAACATTTAGATCAAGGATCAACAAGTAATAAATATATCTACAATCCTTAGTCTCCATGGAAGAGACGGTAAATATATAATTTTCAATTTGAATTAGATAATTAAATCGGGGATGTATGAATAAGAGAGAGAGAGAGAGAGAGAGAGAGAGAGAGATGTGTTTTAACGTCCACTCGACACAAACTAGGTCATTTCGGGACTAATGTATGGTTCAATTTTTTTCAATAATTCGCTTGCGTGTAGGGGTCTTTAGCAGTATATACTATAATATTAAGTCAAGCAGTATATACTATAATATATAGTCAAGCGGTAGTAAGAAGTTTTATTTTAATCCCTTCAAGTGTCTGTGGTTTATAATATACTAAGCGACGTTAATCTCAGTAATTATGTATCTATAAAATTGTACCTTGTGTTAATATATTCAAGTAATAAATGCCAATCAAAAAAAATCCATTAAATGTGCTTATATGTAGGCGTTTATCAATAATTTTATTAGTGAAAAACTTCACTGAAACCTGTTAAGAGGCCGTAAAATATCTCATTATTTCAACACAAATTACACTTCTGTGTACTGAAATCAATAAAATTCTATCCAATTAAAACTTATTGTTTACTGTGGATATGCATCAATAACTTTATTGTTAAAAAATACCTGAAATTTATACAGCGGTGATAAAAGCGGTGGATGTTTATACAGAAATGAAATGAAATAGGGTTTAACGTCCTACTGTTCTGAACCGACTGGGCTAATGAAGACGGACATACGCCATATAGTGTGCTATGAGGTAAATTTGGCCCGGACAGCGGCGTTACGGCCTACTCTTATATCGAATTTCAACTGTCAAGGGATCTTTTACATGCACGCCAATGTGTACACAGGACCTCGGTTATTCGTCCCATCGGAACGACTAGACGTCTGTCCTTTCCAGCTCCACCGTTCTGCACCAGTGACAAGGGGAAATAACTCCGGAAAATTCAGAGGAACTTCTCGGCCAACACTGGGGTCGAACCCGTGACATCCAGGCTAGAGGGCCAGCGTCTTACTCACTTAGCCACCGTGGCACCCGAATGTATAAATACAAACTGACGCAATAATCATTTTCCTACTTATTAATGGATCTAATTAAAATGAATACTAGACTAGAAAAATATCAAGCATTTCGACGGGTAGGCCTATAACTAATCAGAAACGAAAAATGTGTTGTTTAAAATTTCAGCTCTAGTATATAGGAAACGAAATAAATTAAATATGCTGAATATCTAATAAAAACAACTAAAACTTTAGAATATTTTCAAAACTAAATACAGTTTAATATCTACATCAGGTCGGATAGCAATGCACAATAAAATAAGAATAATATATATAATAGCTTTTCATTTGAATATAATGGCGTTTTGATCACAGCTGGTAGTGAAACGAATTGGACCCCGAAACTAGGTGAGCCGAATGCAACAATATTCTAGAAAATCAAGCCAATTATGAAATCAAAGAAAAACAATTTGGGTAATAGAAAAACAAGGGAGATTATATCCTTCTGGGCACTGACCTCTCTCCATGGGATGTCCCGGGCTTCGAATCCTGGCGCGCAGGCTGATTGGAACGGAATATTTTAGGCCCTCGTGTTTTCGTCACTCGTCCTTCCTGAGGTCCAAATGTGTACATATTGGCGCGCAGGTAAAAGAACCCTTGGCAGTTGGAAATGACGTCAGTGTAGCCGGAAACGCCGGTGTCTGGACTAAAGTCATCGTCTTGAAACCATACAAGTAAATGTTATCACGTGACCTGAGTATTATGATGACGAGAGTTTAAACCCCATTCCTCGGAGCTGCGGTGGTTCAGCGAGTAAGACGTTGGCACGGTAACCTGGAAATCCCGTATTCGATCCTGGTGTTGGTCGAGAAAATTCTTCGTGATTTTTTGGCGTGGTTCCCCCTTGTCAATGGTTCAGGATAGAGGGCCTGGCTAGAGTAAAGGTATAATTGTTCGGATATGACGTAAAAC